CTGATTAAAAATTAGGAGTACATGATATCAATAGAACACACTTTAAATGGATTAAGAACTTACTAACTGACAGATCTAAAAAGTAGTTGTCAATAGGGAATCACTATTGAATGGGGGTGTTTCTTTTGGGGTTTCAGAGGGGTTAGTACTGGGTCCAGTGCTAGTCATCATTTTGATCAGTGTTCCGGAAGTAAACATAAAATCACTGCTGATAAAATTTGTGGATGACACAAAGATTGGTGGAGTGGTAAATAATGAGGACAGGGCAGTCCTACAAAGACATCTGTATCACTTGGTAAGCTGGCCCCATTCAAACAAAATGTGTTCTCACACATCAAGGAACCAGGAATGTACACTATAACTACAGAATGGAGGACTGTACCCTGCAAAGCAGTGACTCTAAAAAGGATTTAGGGTCAGAGCAAATAACTGAAGGTGAGCTCTCGGTGCAGTGCTCTGACAAAAAAGGCTAAGGTGATCTATCCATGTATAAACAGGTGAGTAGGAGTATTCAGGTGATTTTACCTCTGTATATGACATTGGAGAGACCATAATGGAAGGTGCAAAGGCTGAGGACTTGCATAACTGGCAGGGGTACGTTGTTTCAAATAGTCCTTTGACACTCATAACACTTCCTAAATTTACAGTAGTCACCTTTGAGGTTGCATACTACTCCACGAGAATACATAAACATTTGCCAGGCAACCCTGGCAACTACAGGCCGGTAAAATTAACTTCAGTACCAGGCAGTTTGGGTGAAACTATAGTAAAGAACAGAATCATCAGACACTTAGGCCTAGTGTACACTAAAAAGTTAGGTTGACCCAGCTGCATAACTCAGGGGTATGAAAAATCCACATCTCTGAGTGACATAGTTAAGCCAACATAACCCCCACTGTAGACAGCACTAGGCCGACAGAAGAATTCTTTCATTGACCTAGCTACCACCTCTCAGGGACTTGGACTACCTACAGTGAAGAGGGAACCCCTTCCATCAGCATAGGTAATGTCTACAATCAAATGCTACAGCAGTGCCGCTGTAGCATTTCAAGTGTAGACAAGCTATAGTTGAACACAATTTGTTATGGAAGAGTCAGAGGTTTTGTAAAGGGAAATTATGCCTCACCAATCTCTTAGAATTGTTTGAGGGGGTCAACAAGCATAAAAGAAGGTTGAGGGGAGATATGATTGCTCTCTATAAATATATCAGAGGGATAAATACTGGAGAGGGAGAGGAATTATTTAAGCTCAGTACCTATGTGGACACAAGAACAAATGGCTATAAACTGGCCACCAGGAAGTTTAGACTTGAAATTAGATGGAGGTTTCTAACCATCAGAGGAGTGAAGTTTTGGAATAGCCTTCCAAGGGAAGCAGTGGGGGCAAAAGATCTATCTGGCTTTAAGATTAAACTCAATAAATTTATGGAGGAGATGGTATGATGGGATAACATGATTTTGGTAATTAATTGATCTTTAAATATTCATGGTCAATAGGCCTAAAGGGCTGTGATGGGATGTTAGATGGGGTGGGATCTGAGTTACCCAGGAAAGAATTTTCTGTAGTATCTGGCTGGTGAATCTTGCTCATATGCTCAGGGTTTAGCTTATCGCCATATTTGGGGTCAGGAAGGAATTTTCCTCCAGGGCAGATTGGAAGGAGGTTTTTCGCCTTCCTCTGTAGCATGGGGCACGGGTCACTTGCTGCAGGATTCTCTGCTCCTTGAAGTCTTTAAACCATGATTTGAGGACTTCAATAGCTCAAACATAAGTGAGGTTTTTTGCAGGAGTGGGTGGGTGAGGTTCTAAGGCCTGCATTGTGCAGGAGGTCAGACTAGATGATCATAATGGTCCCTTCTGACCTTAGTATCTATGAATCTATGAATCTGGGCAAGGGTCATCCAGTTGATATAGTGTACTTGGACTTTCAGAAAGCCTTTGACAAGGCCCCACATCAAAGACTCCTATGCAAAATAATCAGTCATGGAATAAAAAGGATCTCATGGATCAGTAACTGGATGTTGTCCAGCATATTCATAAATGATCTGGAAAAGAAGGTAAACAGTGAGGTGGTGAAGTTTGCAGATGATACAAAATAACTCAAAATAGTTAAGTCCAAAGCTGACTGTGAAGAATTACAAAGGGATCTCAGCAAATTAGGTTACTGGGCAACAGAATGGCAGAAGAAATTCATTGATGATAAATGCAAAGTAATGCACATTGGAAAGTATAATCCCAAATATACATACAAAATGACGGGATCTAAATTAGCTTTTACCATTCAAGAAGGAGATCTTGGAATCATGGTGGAAAGTTCTCTGAAAACATCTGCTCAGTGGGCAGCCTTAGTCAAAAAGCTAACAGAATGTTAGGAGTAATTTGGAAAAGGATAGATAATAAGACAGAAAATATCATAATGCCAATATGTAAATCCATGGTATGCCCACATATTTAATACTGCATGCAGTTCTGATCACCCCATCTCACAAATATATATATATTAGAATTGGAAAAAGAGAAGGGCAACAAAAAATTTTAAAGGCAACAAAAATTATTAACAGTATGGAGCTGCTTCCATATGATGAGAGGTTAAAAAGATTGGTACTGTTCAGTTTGGAAAAGAGACAACTGAAAGGGAATATGATAGAGGTCTATAAAATCATGAATGAGGAGGAGAAGGTGAATAAGGAACTGTTATTTACCCCTTCACATAACACACAAACCAAGGATCACCCAATGAAATTAATAGGTAGCAGTTTTAAAACAAAAATAATGGGGTAATTTTTCACACAGTGCACAATCAACTTGTGGAACTCATTGCCAGGGGATGAAATAAGTCCATGGAGGATATGTCCATCAATGTCTATTAGCCAAGATGGTCAGGGATGCAACCCTCTGCTCTGTGTGTCCCTAAATCTCTAACTGCTAGAATCTGGGACTGGACGACAGGGGATGGATCACTCGATAACTGCCTTGTTCTGTTCACTCCCTTTGAAACATTTGGCACTGGCCATTGTCAGAAAACAGGATACTGGGCTAGATGGACCATTGGTCTGACCCAGTATGTCCATTCTTATGTTCTTACAATGATCTCTTACGACACTTAAACTGAAATCAATAAGTTTTGTCCAGGATATTGCAAGAAACTGCCATATCTGTTACTCAAACTGAAAAATGGTGGTTTCTCCATTTCTTGATGTTTTCAAATGAAGCCTGCATGGCTTTCTGGAAGATATGCTGTAGTCAGCCAAAGACAAGTTACTGGGTACAAAACATTTGTAAGTGGGTGAAATATAATGGGCTGTGATATGCACAAGGTCAGACTAGATGATCTACTGATCCCGTAAACTCTATGAACATATGAGTTTAGAAAACAGAAACTTGAAAGATCTATATACACTTGCTTAAACATACCACATCATAAAATCAAACACATTTCATAACACCAAAGACAGATCTTTCCAGTTTTATTGATAAAATATTTTTCTTCTCCATCAACACATCACACTGAGAACTTAATGTACTCTGAAATTATATTTCTTTTAAAATCTTTGCTGCGCATTTAATAAACCACATGTCAAATCAACAGTATTCATCCAAATGCAATAGTTCCAATACAGACACAAAAAAGGGTGCAAAGTAAGGCTTGAATGGCTGGTATATATCAGGTAAAAATGTGTTCTGAATAGCAGTGCGGAACTGGATTGATTCCAAATTGATTAGTTTGGGACTCTGTGTGTGTGTGTGTTTATTTATTTTAAATACGTATTTTTGGTAAAGATTCCATTGTAGCAAGGGGTGAAAGGAACATTAAATTCTTACTGGTATGGGGCCTCAGGCAGAAGGGGCGGGGCCTCGGGCAGAAGGGGCAGGGCCCCAGGCAGAAGGGGCAGGGCTGGGGGGGTCAACATCCCCCACTGACCCCTCCACGCTGCCTGACCCCCATCACCTGGGCCTCCGGCAGCGATTTAAAAGGGTCCGGGTCTCCAGCCACTGCTGCGGTAGTGGCAGCATGGCTGGGACCCCCAGGCCCTTTTAAATTGCCGACCCTGGAGAAGCTGCCCTTTTTGCCCCCCCTCCTGTCGGCGCAGGAGGGGAGGCAAATGACATTAAAGTTCTGCTGTGGCAGCTCTTTAACATGGTCTGCCTCCGGGGTGGTACTGGCTTCTTACCGGTACGCCATACCGGCCCGTACTGGTCTGCTTTCACCCCTGATTGTAGCATACTTTCCACCATCACTCATTTTAATCAACATTGTTTGCGTCTTCTGCACATTTCTTATGGAAATTAAGATGGAGTACTTGCTTTTGATGAAATAGTTTAGAACAGTACGGATTCCTGAAGTAGTTCAAACTTTTCTGTCAAATTATTCTTCCTGTGGACTGTTTAATTTAACAGAAGGTCACTGTGTGCTTAATAAGACAGCAAAAGGACATCTTAACCTGTAATGAAATGGAAAAAAATGTTTCTAATTACGAATTAGTTGTGTCGTTCTGAATGTAGCAAGAATTGTTTTTAGGGCCTTTTAAGTTCTGGTTGGTGGGCACAGCATGGTATTATTCTGTTGTTAATTGTAACCACTAAGAAATTAAAACCTCATTTAAACTGGGAACATTTGCAGTTTTTGATCAGAATGACATGCAGTCCTTTGGCTGAGCTTGATTCTAATTGTGTTCCAAGAGATAAATGGCCAGTGGTTGATTAATCCAGTTACCCCACTGTTAAGCATTTTTTTCTTCATAAAATATTTTTAATGATATTAGAATAAGAATTGTGTACTGCTGAGAATCGAATAACTAACCCATAATGAGATCTAGCATAAAACACTGCACAGATCAATGTAGTAATTTCTCACCTATTTATTTAAAGCTATTTTTCTCTGAGGATATAATGCCTTACCAGCACTGTATATGTCTGTGTCTGCAGTAATCAGAGTAAAATGAACGTGAATTGTGTCACTGAGCACTATATCAGATTAATTTGTTTGTTTGTTTGTTTCAGCATAAAGAACGTCACTCCAAAAGTAGGCGATGCCGAAACCCGCAAAGCCATTCGCCGTGCCTTTGATGTGTGGCAGAATGTAACTCCTCTGACATTTGAAGAAGTTCCTTACATTGAATTAGAAAATGGCAAGAGGGACGTGGATATTACAATAATTTTTGCATCCGGTTTTCATGGAGACAGTTCTCCCTTTGACGGGGAGGGAGGATTTTTGGCCCATGCTTACTTCCCTGGGCCAGGAATTGGGGGAGACACTCATTTTGACTCAGACGAGCCATGGACTTTGGGAAATCCTAATCATGATGGTAAGAGCAGATTTTAGTTTAAAAATAGTGAATTCAAGTGTGGTGTGCATTTCTGCAATAAAAAAACAATTTCCATACTATCCTGGGGCACCGAAGTACCTGTCAGTGTTTCACTAATTCCACATTAGTGTAGAAATACGTCAATTAATATGTGGTCTGTTAGGGATCTTCGACATGAAATGATTTTTTGTAAATGTAAGTTACATAATTATTGTTCCTCTTTGGAGATAGATGAAATTCCTTTTAGGAGCTACTGAGTTCATCCAACCATTGAATTATTTATGTAATGTGCCCTTCATGTGCATTTTGTTTACCATACTATCTTTAATTAGGTTGAGGAAAAAATGAACATTTAATAGCAGGGATATTATGACAGAAAAATATCAGTTAACAACAGGGACCAATAGCTAATTAGAACCTACAACCTGGTCTGCTATTTTTTGCCATGATGATGCCATGCCTTGGTGCAAAATCAACCCTTGATTTGCCATTTCAGGAAAATAGTTCATTTATCCCCAGTGTCTACACATCCGTTCTTGAAATTCAAACTGGAAGTGCTTGAATACCTCATAAGCAGCTGAGAACCATTTAATGCTTCCTTAGTTGGGATGACTCATCAGATTAAGCTTTGTTAGTTTATTATAAGATTTAGTTAATTGGATGAGTATACCGGCTTCTTGTAAGAGGCCTGCGTTAAAGTTGGCCACAGGTTATTAAGATAATGAATTTGGTTGTCTTCAGTAGGACCTCTATCACTCACGAGGGAGGGGTTGGACAAACTATCTTTAGAAATCTTAATTTTGTCTGCAGAAACAATTAAATATCTGCTCAACTGAAGTGATAAATCCATTAACCCACAAGAAAAAAATAAAAGAAGCAATTAAGAACACAAATATAATGCTGCTCAGTTTGAGGGGAATTTCTGGCTTTAATTTTTTTTCCTTAGGGATTTTCCAAGTCAGAGCCTCAGTTTATTGTTAAACACCATTTTCACATAGGTGCTAGCAACAAGGCTTTAAGTTAATATTTCATTACTATGGATATAGGGTATGGTAATGCTTCTAATGGCACAGTTCTTTCAGTGTAGGAGGCTCAATGAGACAGCAATACATTGATCTAGACTGTGAAGTCCTTAACTAACAGAATGTCTACCAGAAACTTCATTTATATGTTGAAGGAAAACATAAATTCTTGACAATGCAGAAAAATCTGTGGGATTGTATTGCTGTATTTTACCCCCTTTATAATTTAAAATCTCTGCTCAGTTCAGCACGAACAGACACAGTTCAGTTAGGTAGAGCTAATAGTAAAGCTGTTGCAGACCTCAATTAAAATATTTTATATACCAGTGGTTCTCATGGGGGGCCATGAGCAGATTTCAGGGGGTCCGCCAAGCAGCTGGCATCAGACTTGCTAGGGCCCAGGGCAGAAAGCCAAAGCCCCACCACATGGGACTGCAGCCGGGGTCCCCGAGCTCCACCACCAGGAGCTGAAGCTGAAGCCTGAGAAACTTAGCTTTGTGGTGCCCCCTGTGGCATGGAGCCCCAGGCATTTTCCCTGCTTGCTACCCCCTAATGACGGCCCTGGCTTTTATATGTAGAAAAACAGTTGTTGTGGCACAAGTGGGCCATGGAGTTTTTTAGCATGGGGGGGAGGGGGGGCTCAGAAAGAAAAAAGTTGAGAACCCCTGGTATATACAGACTTCACTGAAGAACCTCCTGTTGTGTGCTTCCTTTTTGTCATCAATTTGGGCCCTCAGTAGAATCTGAGGATTGATATGCACTTGAAAGTTATTTTGAATTAAGGCAAAATGTGAATTTTAGGAGCAATAGCTGTGCCTGTAGTTTAATCCCATCAGGAAAAGGCACTCTTATTCTTGAATAAGAGCGTCCACATGGGGTCTGTTGCTGAATGACTGTTGTGGGTTAGCAGTTGTGGTTAATATCCCTATGTAAACAAACTCTAAGACTTTAAGAGATACATTTCAGTAAGGAGAAAAAAGTGGGAGAGGACTGGAGAGCAAAGGGTTAGCTGAGGTGTTTGAATACTATCCCTAAAAAGAAGTTTCTTATAAAAATTAATACTTTGACCACTTGGAGGGGAAGATTGTGACATCTGTATCAAGGGTAAACTATTATACCATGGTAGGTATCAGTGAAAATTAATATACTTTATTATATTATCCATTCACAATTTGCATTTTGTGCAGTTAATAGCCCATGTGCTTTTGTGTATCCATTTATATTTAAGGAGGGGATATTCCTGTTACAATGGAACATACTGTCAGGAACAAAACTGGCTGGTGATGTTAACCAGGATTCCACAGTATTGTGAGAAATGAAAGAGACAATTCTCTTAGAAAAATAAGAGTGCTTCCAAATTTTGTGGACTGCTGGATTGGTTGTTGAGGTGATATATAATGAAGTCTGAATACCTTGCCAGGACTCAGTGTCAGTGCGCTGAAAGGCAAAGGGGTGCAAAGCATATTCTGGTGTTGAACCACAATTTATTCTTCATAGACAGCCTTTATGTTTTTAAGGTTCATTGCTTATATAGTAGTTTCTGTATGATGCAGTACAGTCATTATCTAGTATAGTCTATATAATTTAAAAATCTAATAAAAGAGCAGAGAACTTCAGTGACAGATTTTTGTAAAAAATCTACCCCCAAAATGCTGCACATATTACTTAGCTAAATGAGTTTTTCTCTCTCTCCTGTTCTACTGCTCTAGAGTGGTTTGGAAAAAAAAACAGAACAGCTTGGTTATTTAGCAAAAATGCAAATCAGGGACCCTCTTGATAAGTACCAAGCTCATTTTCCACAGTATATTGCACTGCTAATGAAGGCAATTTGAATTCTGTCTACCTCAAAAGAGATAAACAACTTCTTGGAGTGCTAGTAAAACCTTAATACATTGTTATCCTGTTTTCTATAAATTTTGTTTGGGTTACCCCTACTTTTGAAGCTCTTGAGTTAATGCAAAAACAACGAGAAAAATCAAGTTTTGTTAGAAACCAAAATCTGACCGGAAGGAAACATGTACAAATTAATTCTTTGCACCAGCGCTCTGACTGTGGTTATATTCTAATGTTACTTTATCCTGATTGTCACAATCATGGTTTTTTTTTTCCTTTAATGTCCTGGTGTTCTGAGTTTTCTCATTATGCTCACTTTGTATGGGTTTATTAATGTCACAGTCTGAAATGACACATCCAAAGGAATATGACTTCCCTATATTTTAGTGCTGCTTATCTCCATTCTCACCCCAGTGGTATATCGCTATGGACCACAAAGCTAACAAGTCGCACATGTTGTGTGGAGCACTGCACTCTCAACCCTCCCCACACCTGCATTCTGAAGGAAGAACAGGAGAGACTCATGGAGCAAATGGGCTTTCCACTTAGATAAAGTCCTCCTCTCTCACAACTCAAGAGTAGCTGTGTCTCTAAGACCATTTGTTTCTATGGGACAATGCATTTGTGGAACAGATGGTTAAGGGAGAGGAATGGGAACAAGAGCAGTTTGTGTGTGTGGAGAGCCAAGGGGGCGGAGGGGGGAGCCAAGGGTAGAGATATGATTGTCTGTGTATTTTATATATTGGACTGTATCCTTCTCCACCCATCCTTCATGTGTCACTTGTTATTTTAGGCCTCCATTCTTCCAGTTGTTCCATGTGAGTGGGCCCTTTCATGTAGGTGCCCCATTTACTTCTGGTGTCTCTCTGTACAGTACCAGATCAGGGCCTTAGATTTCTTTAAGTTCTCTGGGCTGAGGACAGTGACTCCATGTATGTTTAATCCACACCCAGTGTAACGGGGCCCTAACCCTAATTAAACCTCTGCATACGGTTCTAAAACAAACATGAGTAATGGTGTAGAAGAAGATGATGGGCAAGACAGTGACAGAGAGAAGAAACACTGAAGGTAAAAAATAGAGTGGAGGTCAAATCAGAAAGTGTGTGTGTGTGGCGGGGGGGAAACTATGAGGCAAGATTTTTAAAGGGAAAAAAGATGAAACATGATTTAAAAATTAAACAAAAGGAAAATACCAAATACTGAAAAAGAATGGGATAAAGAAGTTGCAAAGGAAGAGTAAAGCAAAAGAGAGAGTAACCCCTCCCCGCCCCCATTCCATATGGATTTCGATGCTTTTAAAAAAAGAAATATGACTTTTTTGAGCCTTCTGCTGGAGAGAGATGGATCATTCTCATGACTCCATGCCATTTAGATGCTATATATCACCTCATTTTCCTAATGGAAAGTTTAGATACTGGACAATGGGTCCAAAACCAGAAAAAATATCTTTTCCAGAGTGTGGCACTGTTAGGGAAATATGGCATCAACATAGTGAGCATAATATAATAACATTTAACATTCCTGTGGTGGGAAGAACACCTCAACAGCCCAACACTGTGGCATTTAATTTCAGAAAGGGGAACTATGGAAAAATGAGTAGATTAGTTAAGCAGAAATTAAAAGGTACAGTGACTAGAGTGGAATCCCTGCAAGCTGCATGGACACTTTTCAAAGACACCCTAATAGAGGCTCAACTTAAATGTACACCCCAAATTAAAAAACACAGTAAAAGAACTAAAAAAAATAGTTGGCTTAACCACCATGTAAAAGAAGCAGTGAGAGATAAAAAGGCATCTTTTAAAAAGTGGAAGTCAAATCCTAGTGAGGTAAATAGAAAGGAGCATAAACACTGCCAAATTAAATGTAAAAATATAATAAGAAAAGCCAAAAAGGAGTTTGAACGACAGCTAGCCAAAAACTCAAAAGGTAATAACAAAATGTTTTTTAAGTACATCAGAAGCAGGAAGCCTGCTAAACAACCAGTGGGGCCCCTGGATGATCGAGATACACTTAAAGACGATAAAGTCATTGCAGAGAAACTAAATTAATTCTTTGCTTCAGTCTTCACGGCTGAGGACGTTAAGGAGATTCCCAAACCTGAGCCGTCTTTTGTAGGTGACAAATCTGAGGAATTGTCACAGATTG